CATGAAAAACTACATCAAATGACCAGTACTATTCCTTAAAATCAGATAATTTCAAAAAAGTATTTCCCAGTACTTAATATTCCAGTATTTATGTTTTCAAAGAGTAATATTTGTCTCAATTATCCTTTAGTGTATGACTTCAACAGAATTTATAAGGCTTATGACATTCTTCAAAAGAAAATTTACACGAGCATTCTGTGATGAGTATCTCCATATAATTATGGAGATAACTCTTTTGTTTTTGCATTATCTAATGTCTACTTAAATAGTTTGCCATTTTACAGTTTGGTCACTTATAAACCATTTTCACTTGAATAAAGGCTTTCAATTTTTATTTTTTGGTCATTATACACAGTGAGAAATAGGTTATACATTGTTACCCAGAACAAATATATTGAATGGTCCTCCCTCAAAAAACTCATTGGAAAATGTAATCAAAATGTGATTTTGGGACCAGTGGATGGTGTAATGGTAATGTTACTGGACTCCCATGTAGTCGACTTGGGTTCAAGTCCTGGACCCAGTGGCTTAACACTCACAGCAGGTGTGCATGCCCAAAAATCCCGAGAGGAGAATGAGAATCCCAAGAGGAGAATGAGGAGAAGGGATTCCAGTGTGGCCATTCCCCCTGGGGGATGGATTTCTCACTTTCTATTTCTGTCTCTGTCTCTCTCTCTCTCTCTGGTACCCTATAGCAAATAAAATTATCTCTTAAAAAGAAAGTGACTTCATTTCAATACAAAAAAATTCTGAAATCTGTGCATAGGTGTTTCATAATACATTTTCTTCATATATATATATATATTTCATATATATTTCATATATATATGATCAATTAACTAGGTTTTTGGCAAAAAATTTAGAACACAAATTTGTGAGGATAAACTCCATCTGTTAGGACAAACATGGATTGCAGATAGCTCTGGAGCTGAGAAACAGCTTTGATTTTTGGTAAAATTTGCGAGTCTACAGCTTTCCGATCAACCTTGCGCTGCTCTGAAATCTCGTATTTCTCCTTCTCTGTGTCAAAGATCTCACCTTCCTGGTGTCTGATCTTCTGCAGTTTCTTTTCTTGAAGTAACCACTGGTAAGGTGCTTTGGGATTTTTACTTTGCTAATATCAATTTTTGTGAAGGTGGCAATGACAAATTTCTGGTGTGTTCTACACAGTGGAACTCAAATGAGAACCAGCGGTCCAGCTACAAATAACAAGCCACTGCTCAGCTGCTTCAGGAAAACCACTCTCTTGCTTCTGTCACATCCAGTGAGGATGATCAGAATGGTCCAGGGAGTGATGCTGGCTCGCAGTTTTCTCACATGCTGACTAAAGGGTTTTTTGCCATGGCTCAACAGCTTTCAAGGCACATCTTCAGTAGGATAATACCTAGGGCATTTTGCACAGTTTAACCACCCAGGTACCACCATTCTTTTCTCCACCAACTGGTTTTGTGACAGTCCAAGAACCTTCTTGTACATGGCATTCCTAGAATACATGGCAGACCGGGAGTA